TTGATGATTGGAGAGCAACCAATCTTATATTGTCTAGTCCTGAGTGTTAAACGAATTCTCTCCGTCGTTTTATATTGCGATCACCGAGCTAGTAGGCTCACCACTGTGGTGCACTTTGATGGATGTTACTTAACTGGAGGCAGTCGGCAGGAAGCCTTGCTCGACAAATGTTTTGCACTTGTTGAGATTCGCCAGCAAAGCATTTTTGGGACCTCAGGGGAATTGATGTCCCCTATGAGATTCGGAACCGCATCGCCCAGTGTTTCTGCTAATTGCCCCCAACCAACAAACATTATGTGGAAGAAGTTATCATCGACCTATCTGTGTTAAACTTAAATTCGATGCATACGTCAATTTGAGCATTGCCACTCAACTTCTTTTTTCTTGATTCGTGTATATATATATATATATATATATATATATATATATATATATATATATATATATGCATATAGTTCTAACGAACATGGAGTTTTAAAAACTTCCCATTGTTATTGATATACCTTTACTCACATAAATGAAAGTAGAACGTGGGATGGAAGATGTCAAATAGGGTATTCTTTTATTTCACAAATTGGGAGGTTTTAAGTAGCAGCTTAGTAGCTGCATTATTTCTCTGACGTGAAATATCTACGTGATATTGCAGTCTGCCCTCAGAACTACCGCTGTCATGAAGGGAAATATTTCATGGAACCGAGATTCCTGTCTAATTGTATCCTCTTCTGACCGATTCTTTAATGTTGGTTTCATATGTTTTCTTTTAGTCAAAACTGTGCTTCAACATGCAGTCAGTATAGATAACCTTATCGTATAGTGGTTTGGTGATTTGTGTGAGTGATAAAGAATACTTTGCTGTTTATAATTGTTGAATTGAAGTTTGTCTTTTAAGGCGAGTATTAACTTGTGTCTAGTGTATATTCCAAACATGTTACTGCTGTGTAGTGAATCAACTAAATTCAATTATTATTGACTGCTGTAATCTGAGTAGAGCTATGCTGACGAATGTCGCAGCATGCACTTCATCTCCTTGGATTTTTTTTCAGGTGCTAACAGGCTGTTAAAGGTCACTTAGTGAAATGAATGAAGATTAACATACTTCAGAACTGGAAATCTGTTAGGCAAGAGTAGGAAGACTTTCATCTAATGTGTTGGCTTAGAAAAAAAATACTGATGGATAATGGTTAGCAGTGGTATCCAGGACGCGTATCCTGTTCTGTTCAGGACTCATCAGCTGGATGTACCTGCCTCCTAGTGAGTGATATCGCTTCCACTAAGACTCGAAATCAGAACCGATCACTTCAAACGCTAGGGCATTATCTACTAGATTACCGAGTCATGATAGCCACTTATTGTGTGACAGACATAGCTTTTATGTTGTTGTTTGTATGAATTCTCGTTATTGATTGAACCGAATCGGTCACTTTCTATTGTTAAGTGGGCTTCCGCGCCGATGCCTTAGTGCTGTTTGTAGCTTTGGATCAAAAATATCCCCATCTCATAAAAGCTGCTATTTTGATTCGGTAGCTTAGTGGATAACTCTCTGGTGTTTGAAGTGATCGCTCCTGGGTTCAAGGACTAGTGGGAACAATATCACCCACTGGGAAGTGGGATAATCCAACTGACGAGTGAGTCTTAAATAGCTCAAAACGGACGTCTTGGATTCCGCTCCTAGCCACTATTCATCATTACTACCAGATGGAAACTACAGGCAATATCCAGGCATCTTCACAAGAGCCTATATACCAATACAGGCCGATCAATTAGGTCCAATCAACGACATGAACTTACAAGCAGTGACATCAATGGAACAAAAAAGTTAAATGTTTGGAGGCTATGTACGCTGTTAGGATAGTGATGCTAGAATTCGACTGATAATGAGCCATATAAGTAATTAAGGTGTTATTCATAAGCCCACACGAAGTAACTAAAAATGTATTTAAGTAGAGAACAACGAGTAGAAATCATTACCAAGAGAGTAAAGCAAAGAAAGCTTAAGAGAGAATAAACATTCCGCAGCTTAAATAATTGCTTATGTCACACAACAAACACTCATTCCTAGTTGAATAATAAATTACGGCGCCAACCCTTTGGGATTTATTCTCACCGAAATAAACTTTTTGGATACCTGGCAATATCGAAGCCAACAACAGCATTCAATGAAACTTGGCAAAGCACATCCAAACATTAAATTTACAGTGAAACAGGAAGTCAAGAACACCTTACACTTTCTGGATCTAAGTGTTACCCGAAGAAATGTTGAAGCATATCAAAGAAAGCTGGAGCAGGCAATATCTCAATTCCCGTAGCTTTTGCATGATAAACTCTAAAACAGGATTGCTTCAGGTAATGCACCACAGGACAAGGAAACTCTTTTCAGGAAAAAAAGTAAATGAAGAGTTTGACTGGATCAAAATCCGCCTTCCAGGAAAGGTCGATCTTGAAGTCGACTATTTTTTGTACTTGTATTTCTCAGCGAAGGAGATAAAAATGTTGAAACTATGATGAATATCATTTACCTCTTGTCCAAATCTTTTCAAACCACCAAATCTCAAATTGTTTCGTTTGTATGACTATAAATATACCCTTAAAAAATTATTCAAAACTGTTGGAGTGAGATTTTCCTTAACAAATAGACCGCACAATAAAACTTTTATCCGGCTAGCATTCAGAAGAGATTTGATGACGAAGAAAAATTAATCGACACCTGAAAACTGTACTCGACAACATTGAGAGATAAAGGTTTACTCACTTCTTTGAACAAATCCGAGGAGATCTATGTATCTAAGATCCTAATGATATCCACGGTTCAGTTGCCCATTATTCCTTTGATATAAAACGACGTTTACATTAAAAACACTTCCGAAATAACCACCAAACAGTCTAATTCCGCCTTGCTTCAGTTCGCTATCCGGATTAGAATAAGTTAAAGGTTGATTCCTGCATTTAAAAAGCTAAGTAGTTAGCCTACTGAGAAACGTCATCTTCTATTCCCACTTTTTTTCTTAGTATTGACCACAAGTAGTTGATTTTCACTGAACCTCATCTTGTTACTATATTTAATGACCATGATTATTTCTCTGTTAACATGTGTTAAACAGACAGGTTGGCGTACAACCTGGCACAGAAATACATCGGTTCACGTTGCCACTTCATAGCAGGATGTAAGAAAGAAATGAAAAGATAAAGAATAAAAAACTGGATGAAATCGTACGAAAGGAGACAGTACAAACAGATGAAAGTTCATGAAAGTACTCCAGATTTTGAAATGACAAAGAACGTAGACATATGAGCCACTATGACTGATGCTGAGACGTGTCACGTGATCTCCAACCACTGACTTCTAACATCTCAAGATCCTCAGTCAGATGGCTCACATCCCCTTTCATAGCTAAACTATGTGGCCCATTATTACTCTTAGTATTTTCTGATATTTGTAATCCCTGGTTATTATACTGGGTCGAAATGATCGACCTCTGTTTGCGTATGGTCCTCCATGCGGATACCTTGATATTGCCTGAATATTTATTGCTATAATTAGTTGTGGCTAGCACAGCAATATAAGACGCTCATTTCGTTCCATTATTGACTCACTCATTAGCTTGATGCACTTACCCTCAGTGAGTGACGTTGTTCCCACTAGGACTGGGACCGCATTCCCATCGCATCAAATACTAAAGCCCTATCCACTAGCTCACTGAGACACCATAGCCGTTTCTTTTAAAACGGATATTCGTTATTATTATTTATTGATACTTGTAGTCCTCTGTTGTTATGCTGGATTACATTTATCAACAAATAATAATAACGAATACCCGTTTTGCAAGAAACGGCTATGGTATCTCAGTGAGCTAGTGGATAAGGTTTTGATGTTTGAACGACTAGTATGACGTTCGAGTTTCAGTGGGAAAAAGATCACTCATTAGGGTGTGGGTGCATCCAGCTGACAAGTGAGTCTGAAATGTGCGTCATGAATTCCACTGGAAGCCATCAGGAAGTCAGTTGATTATTATTCTATTTCAAAATTACCATATGAACTTCTTATACAGTCTCCTCATAATTACCGGTTGACGTCAATCAAACAGATTTGAAGCTTTCGTAATGTTGTCTAATACATAATAGGTTTTAAATTGTTAAGTCATCAATTCACAACGACTAGCCTTCAAGCAGCAGAAGAGAGTGCGGAGAAATACAATGTATGCTGCGAATTGTTCTCTACATTAGCACTACTGAGATTCATAAAGAGAACAAAATGCATGAAACACTATACCCTAATCGGTTAACATGTTTACCGCTACATATTTTAAATCCTGATATCGAAAATTTCAAATGTTTAAGGGCATCAATTACTTTATGGTGGTTGTTCTCCTGACTTCGCTTCCTAGTAAAGATTATCTTCATTACATCCAGCTTGAGTATGAATACACGTTCTTGTACTGATCTGTGCATTTCAGTTAGTGTATAAACATCAGTACTATTGTCATATATTTCAAACTTAACTTCTTAGATCATTGAATGACGTCATTAAGACTGAACGGTATATCAGTGTCCAAGAAATACTGCTCATGAAAAAACTGTTATGGGGTTCAACTAATACTTGTGACAAGTCTGGATGTTTATCAGTTAAAATAAAATGCTTTGGACTGCAGAATCATAGCGCAAAATCTACTCAATATAGTTTCATCAACACATAGTGGGACATGTCGATGTGGAACTCAAGTATATGAAATCAGAAAGCGGTTATGTCCTTCCTATGAGCCTATTTGGGAATATACATAAGCTGGAACTTACTAACTTCAATGTTTTTCTTATAGATTCGTTTAAGGCGCAAAATACTGTTAGCTTCCTTCCCGAAAGTGTGGTGTGAGGGAATGAGGATTCTCAAAGTAAGGTGAATTTCTTATTCTTGTATCATCTCTCATTGGTGAAAATACTCCGAAAGTTGGTTTTTTTCTATGATAACTAACATTATGTGTAATTTTTTCATTCGACTGTTTGTAAAGTTTCAGAAATTGGGACACAGGTTGAAAGCGATCTAGTCAAATCATCTTCACCGCCATCATCACCTTTTTCTTACTCCTCAACATCAGATATTTCATCACGGGAATCTCCGTATTCTCTTCCTCCACCCATTGGTTTTCAAGATTCCCCTCCTTCATCATCATCAACTTTTCCAACTTCGGCAGTGATTCTTGATTCAGAAGAACGTAGCTTTGATCTACCGCAAGTTTATTCCTCCTGTATAACAAATGAACAAATTCTGAGTAACTCATCTTCACATTCTCGTCTATCTCTAAGTAATGTTCAATTAATTACGGATATGAATGATTATTCTTCATCATCTAATACTTTGCTGAACGAAAATACAAACCCACCTTCTGCATTTCAGTATTCACATCAAAGTCACCAACAGCAGCAGGGGGATAAGGGAAACAAATTTGAACATTCAGGTGTATTTCAAAGACGTTCTTCAAATCCTACATTATATTCATTAAAATCTAATGATACTGTACAAAATACTACTGAGTTATCTAAATGGTCCTCAGGTATGTTTATATGTATTTTCATATGGTTGATGGGTAGCGTGTTACAGTGACTGAACTGAACTGAACTCTTCTCAATAGAAGATTCGTATATTTTTTTAAGCTGATCGATCAGTATGAGAAAGTAAAATAACTGAATGTATTCATCTATTTATTTACACCAGTAAGAATGTGTTAGTTGTTTTGTCAGTTGGATTTACTGTTATTTAGCGCTGAACTTTCTTTTTTAAAGAGGTCGAGTGTACTGAATACCTCAGTTACATTAATTACTCTGTCCTATTTAATGGCTGTGAAATACGGTTGTGAAAGATTGAGGACATAAGAAGGCTTTAGCTGTCCTATCATGTTTCATGAAATAACTAGGTTAGTAATATAGAAGTTAGGTGTAGAGTGTTAGATAAAAGTAGTAAGTCAGCTGAGGAAACTATGGATATTTATCGAGTGAATTGTTTAAGACATGTATTCTGTATGGCAGCCTACTAGCTGAAGTTCAATTAGGATAAAAGTAGCGGACTAGAAAAAGACGTTAGTTCATACAGTCCCTGACTGCTTATCTGAGTCGAGTAGGGAAATTTTGGCTTCCAAGATGGAGTCTGAGTGATGATAGAAATCGGTAGTTGGAGGCTGTAAATGATATAGTGCAGAATAGGTTGTGGTGATGCAAATATATTTACATGCTATCTCTATATTAACGGTTTCATTATATTTTGTTACTTGTCAACTCCCCTCTTCTCTTTTCTTCACACAGTTTTTTGTGACTTTCATTATGGTATTTCTGTTTCTCTGTCTCATTGTGGTTGCCTTGTATCTGGATTTGATGCAAGATCTGGCGGTTTGAACTGTTGTACAGTGACACCGAGTACTATTTTGATGACGACTTAGTATGAATGTAGCGTAAAACTGTTGAACACCGGTTACTTTTGTTGCTACTATATAATGAAATGTTATGCTATTTTATATGTATCATGGATCAGAGGTGTCACATGTTATACAGGAAGTTCTAGACATCATTTGTCTATAAACAACAGAACAAAGTTGTTTATTGATACTTTTAATTACCCGTTGCTATACGGTGTCGAACTGCCAACCTGTGTTAGTAGATGAATGCCTCGATACTGTTAGATATTCATAATGGTTTTATTCATCTAAGTGACTAGCCGTGGGACCCTGGACACGTGCTTCGTCATATCTAGGACTCGTCAGCTGAATGTACCTGTAATCCAATCAATGGTGTTGTTACCGCTAGGACTCGAACCCCGTACCTACTGCCCCAAACAGCAAGGCCTTATTCACCAAGTCGCTAAGGGATGACAGTCACCTCTTGTTCAACGAATATCAGTCATCACTATTTATTGATACCTGTAATTCTCTGTTGTTATACAGGATCCAATTGCTCGACCTCTGCCAAGAGAAGGCTTAACCACAAGGTTACTTTTAAAAAAAAGCATAAAAGAGCATGAATTGAAATTTTGTTGACTGAAGAGATAGAAATGAAAGTAATATCTCTTCGCTGCTAGGAAGTTTGTTGGGCTTAAAAATTTACATACGAAATGTTTACATTACCTTGACAGCTGTGATTCAGCATCATATCACATTATCACATAAACAAAGTAAGGTTCTTTCAAAGAAAAACAACCTGTTGCTACTTAAATAGTTGACAGTTGAATATCTAAAGCGTACCATACGATTCCTTGATTGATGTACTTGTAGGGTAGAACAAGTTAAATGAATTCGAATAGAGCGCCAAAACTGTTTGTTTACTGAAGCAATCAATGGTTACTGATATGCTGAGTTATTTCAGTGTATCGGTTTAGAAAATGCTGTCATCAAAAGAAAGGTAAAGCACAGAAAAGCATATTCTTTTGTGCTTTCATTATGGAAGTTGATGAAGCCTCTAAGATGCTTATACATAATAAGATTTAGTGGAAAATTTGCCAGTGATATCTAGTGAAAAGTTGTAACGGAGTATCGTTTTTGCTTTATACATTGCAGAGTAGGAAAGATGGGGTGGCTTTAATGGCTGTCCTGGCAACAACTGAGACAACCAATCAGATCCCTGCTTTTTGTGAAAATCCGTCTTTCCAGCTGAAATTAAGGAAGCTAATTGGTTATTTCGATCGTTGCTAGAGTGACCATTAAAGTCTTCCGAATAGGTAATTGCTTCTTACTAAGCACCATGCTAGGAATATTCTGGAGGAGGAAGAATGATAAGTCTCGAAGAATAACTTTCATAAATAGCTATGTTGAGCGACTGAATTGAAGTACGCATTTCGAGTTAGTCAAAAAAAAAAGGTGGAACGTTTTTCAATCAGGATTATATTGCATTCTTTATATGGCAGCGTACATTAGGTTCATATCATAGGATGCCATTACTTTATATTGGGGAATATATTTAGTTGGACCATTCTGAAGATCTATCCCTATAGATTTACTGATTATTTATCTCATTGAAATAAGGATCTGTAGTGGATATTGTATTCATTTTTGTGACTAGCAGTTGAATCCAGCGCGTGCGTTTTGTCCCATTTGGGACTCGTCAGTTGTATTTAACGATGAACAACTAAAGGTTGTCCACAAGGATCTTGTTTGGCCAACAGTACATATTTATTGATACCTCTAAAACCAGGATTTTATCTGCATTGGCGATGAAAGGAAACTACATCATATTGGATGTAGCTTCTTTATGAGAAACTCTATAATTCAAACTAGAATCACACTTGTTATCGTAGCCATAAATACACCCTCTTAACTACAATCTCCAATCATTCATTGCTAATAGTATTCACTTATCTTGGTCTTTTCTAATATTTTATTTTCAAAAGGTTGTTTTACCAATTCAGAATACCTTAAGATGTTACTGACCATAGATTATAGCACAGGCGGACAGACAACATTTTATGACAAAGTACATATATTGTATCTATCATTCTGTTAAACATATCATACTAGAAATGAAAAATAATCTCAGTTAACTTGCTCCTGTGAAGCCGAACACATCGGCCGCACCATACGCCAGCCTTCTGAACGTGCTCGTGAACACTATCCAAAGGGAAAATATAAATGTATCCTCAGCTCTGTAACAGAATACTCAGGACATTTGGCTCCTTTTTGATAAGTCCTTCAAAATTCTGTGCAAAGTACGACCGAATCACTCGAAAGGAGTGAGGCTAAGACATCTGGGTATACCTGAAGCATTCATAGTTCAAAAGTTGAAACCATCATTATGCACTCAAAGGAGGTATATACAACCTCTTTCTTTGCCATGATCATCGTAGATTATCGATCACTCTAAATAACCCATATATGACGTAACTATTTTTATTTCGTGATCATTTTACTGTATTCCCGATTACGTAGCTTCCCTCTGTGACCTTTCATCAGAAATCACTGAAATATACTATACTTTTTATTACATATTCACGAATGTATAGCTAAGAGAATGAATTCATTGAAAAGGAAAATGTTTTCTTCGCTTCAATTATTCTCTGTTTTTCACTGAAACCCTCATTTGTAGATTCGAAGCGTTTTTTAACTCTTCTTCAGCTGAAAGTATGATTTAGGGAGTTAGAATTTCGATCGATACTTACACATAAACCAATCTTGATCTGGTCTCCGGTGTTTGACTTGATTGAAATGATTATTCTATGGTTATCGTGAAACCTTTTTCATCATTTACTACAGGTTTTCTAACTTGATGTTAAGGGTTATTCATGCTTTCAGAGACTAGTTACGCAAATTATTTATTAAATGTTTTTTCCTCATATCTTATCATCAGCTCCCTGTGTATGTCCTACATCGGCTACAGATATATCAACTAACAGCAGACGGTTGTAGAAACGTTGAGCTACTTACTGGGATATAATACCGAGCAATTAGAACCTGTTGTTACTTGTTAGTTAACTTAATGGTGTGAGAAAACAGATGTGTCACTGAAACCTGGGTCACGACAGGATTCGAATCAATGGGATGTAACTGACTAAGCTAGTGTAATGACCAATGAACATCTGTGAATTACCGTCATAGCCAAGGAAAACTTCTAGTTAATGAAGTGAATCTAAGATCGTTTAAGTCAGTCAGTAGGTCGATGGGATGAAATATACACGAGACTGACCTGAGTCTTGTCTCAACTCAGATTTTCATTTCAAAGTCAATCATTAATTTTTTACTTGGATTATTGTTCTCCAACAAATATATGGAATTCAGTTACTGGAAAGAACAAACTAGGAAAGGTGATGATATCAACCTGATATAATTTCAGGTTTATTCATTGACGGTGTTTCTCGCATCCTATCCTACATGGATTCATGGTAATCCCTCACTAAGACAGGAAACTAAGATTCATCTCTTCAAAATGAGAGAGACATGGTTTGGAATACAATGGTTGGATGATCACTTAGTATGGAAAGAGGTATTGGTTGCTACTGAAGTTCTAAACTCCTTACACAGGCAACCCACTCACAGATCGAGCTCCTCCGACTCAATCGTTCAAATCAACAACGGGAAACTATAATCACTACTACTGATAGATTCGAATAAGTCTGTTCTACTAGATAACTGTTCGTAATCCTTAAAAAATTGGACGTTTCCTAAGGCACACAAACTTTAACACTAATGTTGCACCTGCTAAAAGATGCGCTGGATTCAAACCCACGACCGGAACACGAAGGCTTCAGGAAGTACAAATCATGTGCAGACCAAAAACATATGAGAAATGGTGTTAGCCTTATCTAGAAATGTTCTAATACATTCATCTCATGCAATCGTATCAGTTCATTTCATGGTTTATAGTTTATCATTGGGTTAAAGCGAGTATCATATTTATTTTATTAAAGTAAGGATGGTTCAGTGTTGCTTTGTCGGTGTCTTTCACAGTACACTAATATATACCAATCTGTCAGTGATAATTAATGCAGATTCTCTTATACAACCGAAATAATTTTAGGGAGTTAAGTGGTTTTCAGAGTGAACTGTTATGCAAGGAAGTAATCTCATATTTCTCATGATCATTGTACTAGTTTTTCTTATTTGTGAATTTTAAAAAAACTGAATTTCATGAGGTAGAATATATCTGAAAGGTCAAAACCTTATTGGTAACTTATAATGTTCATATTCATTTCCTATCAATGTAAATGCAAATCTTGGTATGACTTAATGTAATTACGTTAGGTTGATGAATGATGCTAATCACTGTCGACATCATGTAACTGAACAGATAGACAAATAGACAAATCAGTATAAAACTTCGCACTAAATGCATCGGTTCAAGCTGTTACACTTCACAGTAATATGCAAAGAACAAGTAGATTGCAAGGACTGAAATAAAGTAGAATACATCAAAAAATGAATACATCTGCTCCACTGTGATTGATTTCCTGCAGTTTAAAAAGAGTTCTTAACCACTAATTCCTACCATCACCACAACTACAGCCATCAGCTACCCAACATCTCCTCACATGGTCCAGACCAACAATCAAAAACTTCGTCGACTGCTACCATGTCTTTGCCTTGTCAACCTTAACCTCTCCCAACCTAATACAACTCCTCAACATCGCACCTCGAGGTACGCTATGGTTTGGTATGCGCAGTAAGTGTCAAAGTCGTCTTAGTCAAATAGGCTTCACAACCTCATGAGTCTACTTGCCTGTCTTGCGTGGTACCGTTCGTTTGACCTCGACATTACTCACACTGATTCCATCAAACGTCAGCAATACAACAAAGACACCCGTAATCAAACACCTGTAACCACCTCATGTCTTCTACTCTCAACAACCATATCCCATAGCCGTATAACATGACAGAATGGACTACAATCCAGTATACTCATCGTCTGATAGATAGTCGGATATCTCACCAGCAGGTACGAAAAATGAGGCGAGTTGACATTTCGTCAGTAACCAGGTCGTACAGGCTCAGTCAACTTCACACTCAATTCAGTGAAGTCATTCAAACATTCCATCTCTTCACCCTCAATCAAATCGATGGGAGTATTTGAAATAGGTCAGTCCTCAAGCATCATCTTACAATTGACGGGTTCGGAACTCATGCCAAACATAATCACGTTTCTTCTTAACGCATTCAGAAGACCCTGTTTGCCTTTTGTTAGCGTTTTCAAGTAGGTGTTAGCCGGTTCACAGAAGAAAGTTTTTCAGACCTACTGTATTAGCTGAATTCATCCATTCATAGAGTTGATGATGAGCTTGACTGGAAACAAGCGAAACAGCTATCCTACCTCTAGATCAGTTTGATCTATCAGTTAACATTATCTTCTCAGCGTAACTATTCTCCGGTTCAGTATTATAGTCGACAGCATTCTAATGCAACAATCAATACAGTTGTAAAGTGAATTGTATAACAAAGCTGACCTAATCACCATTCCCTATCCTATCCTACTTTCTTTATTCAGCAGCTGACGAGTCCCAACTAGGACGAAATGGGCGCCTTTGATTTATCTGCTAGCCACAACCAACCAAATTATATTCACCTAAATTGTCTGTTTAAAACAATGTTGAGAAAAAAGCTATCCAGTTCAAAGGCCCCCAATAGATTTCATCATTGCCTTCAATTTTTACTAAAAGACACTTATTGTTCAATGTACATACATATTGTATGCTTCACTATGTATACTGAAGCAATAACCCTAAAACCGGAAATGAATTAATGTAAACAGTAATGATAATGCTAGATTTCTACTGTTCTTAACCATGTTAGGAATGATTTTAGGGGGTTGTGTACAATAACCATCATTCTTTTTGTCACTTCATGATCCTTCTTCATCATTGTTTTCAATTACTTTCTTTATATTGTATGTGATGAGACAAGCAGTAATGTAATGAATTCTTTGTCTTTGTATATGTAGTTGTTTATTGATATGTTGTAATTCAGTAATAATTTAATTGTGTGCATTCGTGCTTGTATGTGTCTATGTGCGTACGTGTATGTTTATTTGGGCTTGCTTATGCTTATATATATCGTCCTTAGATTGATGAATCATTCTTCTATCTGCCATTTATTCATCCGTTTGTATCAGTGATGTATCAGGCTGGCACCTGGATTATTAAATCACCACACTAAAATTAAATGTTTAAATGAAGTTATGAAGTTTTTGTCTCATTTTACCGTCTGGAATATGTGTAAATATGCACATGTTCGTTCGATAATTTTCGAAAGGGTACCATCAGCACTAGATAGAATTGTTTAGTTTATTTTATAATAAGACATGTAAGCGAACAATATTGTTTTCAAGGTATTGTTCATTATGCAGTCACATCATTCAGCGGGTCATTGAAAACCTGGGAGTACTGAACAGCTGTTACGTCCTAGTACGCGACTCTTCAGCGGTACTCATCCTTGACGCCGCCAAGGATCAAGTTCAGGACATCCAGGTTTCATGACGAAAGCCTGTGGGGTCAACTGGCTGGAAGGGAAGGGGGTGCTAACTGAAGACGTTGGTGGATCGTCGCGCTATCTCATGAAATGACAGAAATGTAGGAGACTGTAGACCAGTGGCTGAATAGTTAACGCTTTCCCCATCAAACTTCTGAGGAGTTCTATAGTGAAACAAAACAGTTCTCCAGGGCTCTTAGATTTTCAATAGTTCTTCAGCTGATATCAGTCCGTGATGAATACTAACTTAGAAACGAAAAATCCCCACTAACTCTGGAAAGTACAATAGTGTGAAATGTCTCAGCTATCCCTCTTTCCTTATAGTTCGGAAAACTTTTTTTAACAATTCTAATATTTTCAATAATAATTTTGTGGCTATGGTGCATGGCATAAAACGCATTTGCCAATCTGATTTGTAAACTTTTTAGCTCTGAAGGTTGTTGTGTGTAATTTGTATGTTTACAGGTGCACACACATTTACATCGTCACCTTGAACTCATGGACTAATCACTGATAACGATTATGCTTATCCTCCTGTTATTGTTATTATTATTATCATTACTATGTATGAGCAGCCTGGTCTGATTTAACACCATTTACTATTTAAGGAGTCGATAACTTGTACACGTTTTATTCCTTGAAGAAGCGACTTCCAAAAGATCGCGAAACATCAGAAATTTATTCTTATTCTACCTCATTGGAATTTTAAAAATATGTTTCTTTAATAGTCGTTTTATTGTTTTGAGAGCCTGTCATTGTATATTGGCCTGGATGCTTATTATTTCCCGTTTATCTTTCTCTCTCTCTCAGGTTTTTTAACGAGCCCACAATTGCGACTGCCAATAAAGTAAGTTGGCGATAATATATTTGCATTAATTTAAGTGTGATTGGGAGTTTGTTCAGTATTGTTGCATGATCTGAGATTACTGAAGACAAATATTTCCAGACTAATGTGTATTGAATGATGTATTCGGTACTAGGGTGTAACAAACTTCACTTATTACATTTATTTATTTGAGAAATAGCGCATAGGGATACAGTATTATTTACTTGATGGCGATTCCAGCATAAATCATTACTGCTCATTATCATATCAATCTATTCCTACTACCTTCGATAATCGGTTTCTATAGGTAGATTAGATTGTTTTGTTTCATTGGTTGTGTCAGATGCTTAAGCGGACAAAGCTTACCTCTGAGTGGGTTTATAAGTTTGAATGTCACCCCAATTCCAGCCTTGTTGAGAATCCTACGTAAAGTTTCTGATGTACCACCGTTATTCGGTAACACAATGGAGGCTTTGAACCTATTTTTTAAGGGTGGAGGAGGGAAATTACTGAGTAGAGTGATTAAAGTGCCAGGTAGAGTATGGGAAACAAAGATAGTGCTAGCAGACTAGTCTTCTTCACTGATCATTTTAGTCACTAAGAAGGGACAGAAGCCTTCTCGTGACAACCTTTGAAAGGTTAACTTATCTAACATTATGCCCATAGTTACCCGACGCTTAATTGGAGCTCGAGAATAGTTAACTTGGGGGAACCAGGGAGGTTTCACACCTGGAAGAGGATATGTCAATCACATTTTCACTCTTCTTCAGGCAGTCAACACCTGCTAAATTTTTTGACCTAAAGGCGGAATTTGACTGTGCTGAACGTGAGGTATTATGACAGTGTCTGAATATGAAAGGAGTACTTAGCAAGTATATAACGCTTGTCAAAGCATTCTACTCGAAGCCATGCAGCGGTTTACAGGTTATGGATTATTGTTATTCGAACTGACGACAACTTATCATCAACTCTATGAATGGATGAATTCAGCTAATACAGTAGGTCTGAAAACTTTCTTCTGTGAACCGGCTAACACCTACTTGAAAACGCTAACAAAAGGCAAACAGGGTCTTCTGAATGCGTTAAGAAGAAACGTGATTATGTTTGGCATGAGTTCCGAACCCGTCAATTGTAAGATGATGCTCGAGGACTGACCTATTTCAATACTCCATCGATTGATTGAGGGTGAAGAGATGGAATGTTTGAATGACTTCACTGAATTGAGTGTGAAGTTGACTGAGCCTGTACGACCTGGTTACTGACGAAATGTCAACACGGATAAAGAAGGTCTGTTTGACATTTGCCAACTCGCCTCATTTTTCCCGCCTACTGGTGAGATATCCGACTATCTATCAGACGATGAGTATACTGGATTGTAGTCCATTCTGTCATGTTATACGGCTATGGGATATGGTTGTTGAGAGTAGAAGACATGAGGTGGTTACAGGTGTTTGATTACGGGTGTCTTTGTTGTATTGCTGACGTTTGATGGAGTCACTGTGTACGGGGTTCAATGTCCTTCTTTCCTCGAGACTTTTCAACTTACTTCTGCGTTACATGATGGCATGACGAACGGTCTGCGTGGAGAAGGGAAAACTGGTCAGCTGGCTGATGCCTTTTGATGTGCTTACTCATTCATGAACGTGTCTTTCATCCTTTGAGTAAGACAGAACGAACTAGCAATGGACACGAGTAAGCGTGTTTGTGTTCCAAAACCTATCTCATTTTCCAATGCCTATGCATTGCATCCCAAGTTGTAACCACTGTTAAGTGATATCAGTGGGGACATTCAAAAGACAGTATTCAAGATACAGTATCGCACATCCTTATACAAGGTTTATAAATTTTGGGCTTCTGTCATATTTACAACTTAGTAACTTCAAACATCAACAGTTTTTTGATTCTATAATATCTAAGAGGCTGATACACTAGTGTTTTTTTTTCAGATAGAGCGCCTAGTCAATTTGATTTTATTTACGTAAAGGCTGCCATTAGGAAACCCTGAACCTGGACGTCAGTTTTCGAGTTTACATCGAAAAACTGTTTGTAACTCTAAGAAAGCGTACACTCTATTTTAGACTCCAGTTTTTATTATCAACATAAGACTGTCGATTCATTTATCAGAGAGAGAATGCCTTTTCTTGAGATTGCTGTTTCATTATATCGTTGGATGTCCATTATCTAGACACAGTACTCTTCATTACTATTTGTTGATATGCCTGTGATTCTCTGTTGCTTTACTGGATAGAATCGTCTGACCTCCATTGGCATATGGGCTTCCATACGGATGCTTCGATATTGCCTGAATATTTATTGTGATTATTTACCTGGGTGTGGCTAGCAAAAGAATCCAGGACCCACATTTCGTCCTGTTTGGGACTCGTTAGCTGGATGTACACGCACTCCAGCTAGTGATTTTGTTCCCACTGAGACTCGAACTTTGTACTCATCGTCGTAAACGCCAGTGAGGCATGATAGTCACCTCATGTACAACGGGTGTTAGTTATTACTATTTGTTGATATGCTTGTAACTCTGCATTGTTTTACTGGATCGAATTGTCCAACTTGTGTTTGGAGCGATGGGTACGGGGTTCGAGTTTCAGCAGGAGCAGCATCACTCACTGGGGTGTAGATGCATTCAGCTGATGAGTCCGAAACGGTATGAAACGCACGTCCTAGATTCTTCTGCTAGTCACAACCAATTAAAATATCAATCATCATTTGATGGCTTCAAGTACACCAATAAATAGGAGACATCAGTTTCATTTAAAAAATCTGTATGATGTCAGTATTTCAGGACAGAGTATCTGTTAATTCGGCTACCTGACAACTCTCACTGGAATCGGTTCTCATTGTTTTGTATTGCCTAACATTTTCTGCTAAAATCCGCATATATATCATACTTTTATTTATTTACAGTGTCAACTCCACTTCTGATCCGGACTTGGAGGCCATGTACAATATACAAGCTATGCTTGATCAAATTAGCGAACGTCTTATTCTAAGTGATAAATAAACACTACCAGGTTTGCTCAACTATCATTCAATCCTATTCAATACATTTTGAGGAAAAAACGAAAGGGATAATCTATTTGACTTGTCGTTTGAAAGAAGGACAGATAAAGTCTTGATTTTACCTATGTGCATATGCATATTATTGTATCTGTATCACGCAACCTGACACATAGATATCATCGCATACAACTATTCATTTCTTTATAATCTTATTATCACACGATTTCTTCGTGCCTTAAATTATAAGCGTTTTCATGTAATTTTTTTTAGTTAAACAATGAAATTTTTTGAACGAAGTAAATTAATTTTATGTTTATGCGAAAGTCAGCTTCTCATGAGTAAGTACATTCTTTTTCATGTGTTGATTTCTTTCTGAGAGTCGATACAACTCACAGTTACCTGAATAGAAGTATAAAACATCTAGTATATATGTACAGGATGCATTTCGTGGATAATTCACATTTGAACTGTATTCTATGCATTATCTTCAGCTTTGTCTACTCCTTATTTCTTACCTTTCACTTTATGTATCTTCTTGTTTTTCTGATGGTAATGAATAGTTTTTACAAAGTGAATCTTTTGTCCTCTCTATCTTTTATGTTTGTCACAAGTATTCACTTTTCGTTTATAACTAAAGATAAACAGGGTTTAAGTTGTATTGTGTTCTCTGAGCTGGGTTGTTTAATCGTTAGAGCTTTCAACGCCTTGCTAGACGACATCATCAGCACTAACTTCATATGAAGTGAGCTGTCAATATCTCTCCGTGAGTGGTTTAGCAGCTTGCTCTGACGATGTGGTCTGTGGTTGGTTGTTCCCTTCGATTGTTGTGTCATTGATTGTATAGACCTTCTTGTTGGTTGTTCCTCTGCCTGACCTCTGATCTTTCTGTCGTTTATCATTTTTCTCGTTGGTTGATAGATCGGGTCTATGTCTATACATCTATAGATATAGACCCGATCTGTTAACCAATAAGAAAGATGATGAATGACAGAAAGGTCAGAGGTCAGGCAGAGGAACAACCAACAAGAAGGTCTATACAATCGATAACACAACAATCGAAGGGAACAACCAACCACAGACCACATCGTCAGAGCAAGCTGCTAAACCACTCACGGAGAGATATTGACAGCTCACTTCATATTGAAGTTAGTGCTGATGATGTCGTCTAGCAAGGCGTTGAAAGCTCTAACGATTAAACAACCCAGCTCAGAGAACACAATACAACAAAGACCATTCACCTGAGTTACAAATATTCCCCATCATTTCATAAACTGAGTTTAGCTAATTTGATCCAATTGACATTTTGTCGATTTCATCACATACTATTGGATAAGAACAGTTTGAAAAGAAATACTGTTTCTATCCTCAGCTTACTTCGTTAGCAATATCTTCTTAGTTCTTATTTCCATAGTTTTTAGGCTGTACCTAACTAATACTGTCTGTTTTGCCTAATTCTTGTTTTGGATTGTATTCCTTTTGCTCTTATAATTTTTATGTATACATATGTCTGGCATGCGTATATACAGACTCATCATAAATAAATCCTTAGACAGGCATTCTTGACTGTGTAAATAAACTTTTGTTTTGATTATTTTAAAAGAATTCGATTCAATAATTTTTGTTAAAATAGTTTTGTGGAGATTGATGTATTATTCAAGATAAATTTATATGCCTATCGAAAGGTAGACAGTGTGAAGAAAACTAATCACCAATAATACTGGATGATGATTGTACTACTTTGGAAAGTGACAGAAGGCGGAACATATAAATCATTAAATTTCGACTTGGTTACCAAGGATGAGCACTGCACTCGAGTCCTGAAATAGATTGGAACAGCTGTTTAATGATTCTTGGTTTTCACTTATTCTTTCGTAATGAGGGCTGCTTTTGGAGAGTGAACACTTTGGGGATTAAAATCTTCAAAGAGAACGTCGTAGACAACTAATGAAGGACTACGCTCAGGCATTTGAGTCCTCGTGGGAATAACACCACTCACTGAGAGGCAGGTACGTTCACCTGACTAATCCCAAACAAAACAATATGCGCATCCTGGATTCCACCACTAATTGCTATACATGATTAACTGTCTGAGGGACCTTATTCATTAGACTCTCAAAAATATTTCCATAGTTTGAAAATTAAGTATGTCTTGACAAGGTAGCTGAGTATATTACAACGGTGTCACTCATCGTATGAGTGTATCTCATTTTTCAAGTTCTTCTGAAGGATTTAAATTTATTCCACGGCAAAAATTTTCATTTGTAGCATTCTCCATTCCTTCCCTTCCACTTTCTATATCACCTTGTCGTCGAATCAAAATTGACGATGAATTAACTCACGTGATTGGTAGCATGAAATCAGAAAGTACTATAAACCAGAACAAACTGGTGAAAGGTTACTTAGTTTCCACGATGAACGACAATACTTTCCAAAGTGTTGCAAATGAAACTGAAGATATACTTATGGGGCATTTTTGTCTCGCTGTGTTTCTGTCACTAGAACCTTTTAAGGATGTATGAGAAGGATGAGTTTGAGATGCAGACGTACACGCACTACGTTGTGCGAGATTCACATTTGCAAGGTGACCGAAGACCTTACGTCACGTTTGTGTATTGAAAGGCTACTGGAAGCCAGTCAATAGATAATGTAGTAACAAGAACGTCAGCTCTGTTTGTTTCCAGTATATATTTTGTAGAGTATCTCTGAAATGCTCTTCTTCAGCGTTTGTACTTGCAAAGTTTTTAGATGGTTTCTGGATAGTAACTCAGTGGCTGTCAACTCAAAATCATCCCTATCGTTCTCTGCTTTATGATTGTCATTTTTGGACCAGGAAGTTGAATTAGACAGTATAGGACTGTTACTAATATCTGGCATGGGTGCATTTAATGTTGTTGAAGTGTTTTTTTTTCAACACACCGAACTAGCTGTAGTTTACTGACATTTTTCTTCGTCTTCTGAGTCTTGACGGGACCTACAAGATAAGAAACGAGAATCTCCTTCTTTACATGTTCGTAGACATTGGCTTAAACTTTTGTCTTCTTAAACAATAAAACATCTGAACTCACTGGTGCATTTCTGTAGTTGTTTAAGAATGTTACTGGAAGCAATAGGGTGGGTGGTTTCACAACAGATGATTGTCCTGGAATTGCGCCCAGTTTTTTGCGGGATTTCTCCCAACTCACATCACTTCCTCTGTCGTGTGCATATCATTTAAAACGTAATTAAGAGGGTAAGCATGCGTATCATATTATTGGGACAATTCTAATGTCTAGAGAGGTGACAACCCGAGGAGCTGCAGTAATACTTCCTTTTGTTGGATAACAAGAATATAGGACGCTACTGTAAGTGACTATATCACACGTTTTTAGCTATGAAAGTTGCGTTGTTGAAATAGAGGCTATGAATATGATATTCACAGGTACTTCTTGTCCTATGTGTTACCTCGCAAGTACACATGGGCTGCTGCTTACCATCCTCAATGCGTACATTTTGAGCGAAATAACACAAACTTCATTTCAACCACACAACGCACTCTGGAGCTCCATATGTTGTCCAGAAAGATGTGAGTATGTCTGGGAATACTCAGCCTTACGCTGGTCAGTGGTTACTGAATTCAGGAGCGCATTTAGAAACTGCTGAGGGATTGCAACAATAAGTTTGAACCGCGTGGTCATAATATCTTCACTTCCATATTCTGTTACCTGACACCTGTAGCTAGTTCACTTATTAGAAGGAACATACAAATCGAATTTTCACTGAAAGGAATTTTTAAGAATGCACTGTAAGGTAGGTATACCGTGGGTTATTCTTTCTCTTCCCAGCTCTTGTGACGTATAACTCTGGAGTTTGGGTGGGGTAAAATTTACCATGTAGATATGTCATTAGGTGCTGTAGTACGGAAAGAAATATCCTTATGCATGCAGCCAACTTTCTCCTCCGCTGGCTGATGTAGAAATACACTTAACAATCAACTCCATCCCTTTTTCTATCAAGGCAAGTTTGGATGAGGGTGTTTTCATTCCCACTAATGATCAGCTATTCCGTACAGTTCTGTGATGTGTACGGAAAACTTTATATGGTAGAACACTCATACCATGAATCAGGTCTCGAATGTACTGTTGCAGAGATTCTATCAAGTGGTTCGACATAGCATGTGAATAACATCCAGTTGTCACGTTATATTGTGCATATTTTACCCATGGGATCCATACCCTAGAAGATTTTGTCTTGAGTGTCCAGTGTACAGAAGTAACCTCTGGGATAGAGGTAACGCAGCAGATCATTACAGCACCTACTGTTTAGTCCTCATTAGTCACATGCTTGGACATGAATATCCCGAAGTTTTAATAAAAAGCCCTGACCAACTGGAAGTGAAGTGGATGCCAACTGAAGACCTTGGGTGACGGACACACTATGTCGCGAATTGACAGAAGTGAGAAACTGTGAACCGTTCAACTCCGACCCAGTTGCTGAATAGTTGGTGCATTCACCGTGAAGTGTAAATTAGAGTTTCGAGTCATAAGGAGAGATTAAGAGTGAATATCTGAAAAAATTATATCTCATGCGAAAAAGTAAACATTGTATCATAATAACAATAATAATAATAGTGATAATTATAAAGCTACTTACAGTTGAAGTATAGGTGGTAGCAAAGTAGATTATGTAGTATGTAGAATCGTTCACAGAATGTATATAACTCAGAAAGCGAAGTAAAATTGAAAATAATAAATCAATAAAGTATTATGTAATAATGTAGTGAGTGCTACTGATAAGGATGCATAAAAGTAGTATGTATTGAAAGATCAGAGGAAGTCATAGGTAATTACGAGCGGTGGATAAATATTACGCTGAGAGAAGCGCAAAAGATGACGTGGGCATATCGAGAAAAAGAGCTCGAAGAAGAAGATGAATTTAAGCATATTATAGAAATTAATATTTCAATTGAAGGTTATTGTATTTCTTCAGTAATGTACAAATTGTCATGACAGACAATCCTTCTGCAATTCACCCTTCACTTTTTTCCTTCAATAGAAGTTGGTAAAAATGAAATCAATATTTTCTGAGAAGATTAAGTCAACAAAGTGAAATATAACTGGAAACTATTCAAAGATGAATTTGGATTCGAATAAAATTTTGGAACCTGAATGAATGGTGATAACAGAGCCTTTTCCAAATTTTTCCACTTCATAGGGAGTTTTCGGTTGTTGCTTGCAACTTCAACCATGTTTGGCTAAACGTGTTAGTACTTGAAATGATGTCTTTTTAATGCGTGTGGCATAGCACTCACTACAGTCTGCCTTATAAATAAAAATCTGCTTTTCGAAATAGGGAATCAGGTCTTTTAATTTGGACAGGTGAGTGTAGTGTTCTTCACCATATAGAATACCCTGATGTTGTGAATTTTATGAATACGAACCATTTCTTCTGACGTATTTGTTCGTTAGGGAAACAGTACAACACTTATCCAGTCTTTATGGGTTGGTTTTTCCATGTCTTTCTATCCTTTTTAGTAGCTTTTCCGATTAGGACTTCTTGAACAAGCTGTCTATATGCTTTCTGAGGTTCCAGCTTA